ACACACACACACACACACACACACACACACACACACACACACACACACACATCGTCCAATATGCCCTGTCGACGTGTCGGCATTTCAGTGGCTCCAAACGGCTGTCAACGTGTCAACCTTTTTCTTTCTTTTCTTTTTGGTAAGTGTTTTATGGCGCTACCAACTGCATAATGTCATATGAGCGCGCGGGTTAAACGTTTACAGTTGGTAAGAAATTGTGAGTCTTGCCCGGGTGGCGGCCAAAGCCTATAATTATTTATTTTTGACCACCAATGGATCTTTAACGGGCGCAAATTGCACAGGGGACCTCCGATATTTTTCACCCTTTCCCGAGAAGGCTAGGTGTCGGTCTTTCCTACCAGCAGATCAGGGGTGTGGTTGAAAGACAGCAGTAAGAAGGAGCCTAGCAGTAGCAGTAGCAGTAGAAAGGCCGCAGAAAGAGTCAGGAACACAGAGGAGGGGCCGAAGGTGGCGAGGGGGTGAGGGCAGAAAGTGGAGACGAAAGCAGACGACAGGACATTGCAAGAGAGCAGAAAAGGATGTGAAAGGAGACAATTTTAGAGAAGAACATTTTTTGGTCGCTACCCGGATTCGAACCCGAGACCTTTGAATGAGAGGCGAACACCTTAACCTCTAGGCCACGAGAGCCCACTGTCAATTTTTCAAGCCACAACAAAGGACTCGCTCAAGATGAAAACCTCGGGGATACAGGACATTTGATCAGTTCGCTACCCTAGATTTACAAAGTTTTATCTGGTCAGTATCTAGTTTTGAAAAATTTGGCGTTAAAGAAATTGAGTTTCACAACGTGTCAAGCTTTTTCGAATGCTACTCTCTGAACATCTTGATAACGACCCCAAATCATCCTACGATGTTCATAGAACAGATGGAGAATTTTGTTTCTGACTTCATGGTCTCAGTAACTCAAAACGGCCAAAAATGTCGGAAAGAACTTTTGTAATTCTAAGCAAGGTAACGAGCTGGCCGACTAGGTGGTGGTTATGAGGTCGTGTTCTCATGCTAGTGGTGGGACTCCCGTCCTAGTCCTTGTCCTGCCTCACAACATTCGGTACTGAAGTGTCTTTAGGCCATTTCTAAAGGGGAGACATTAACATGTTCTTATGCACAGTTGAATTGTAAATGGGCTGATTCATCCATTTCATTCTCATGACTGTGCATGAACTGCAACAGGGAACTGCTGCTTTTTCTTTCCTGATCCTTACCTTTGTCATGATATGATGTTCCTGTACTTCTTTTGTATGTTTGTCACACTCTTGTAACCCGCTATTTCCGGGGTGCCTTGATAGTCGAAGCAGACGTCGTGCTGTTGAAGCTAGAGAGGTGAGCAGAGTAAGTCTGATTCCCTGTTAGGACTTCTTTGTTGACATCCACCCCTTGGTGCTCATATGACCTAATGCAGTTGCGAGTGCCGAAAAACCTCTACTAAACAAACAGAAGTCGGTGTGTGGACGTATCCTTATGCTAGTCGTGGGACTCCTGTCCTAGTCCTAGTCCTAGTCCTGTCTTACAACATTCGGTGTGTGGACGTGTCCTTATTATGATAGTCATGGGCCGCCTGTCCAAGTCCTAGTCCTAGTCCTGTCTTACAACATTCTCGTGGACAGGAAAGGACGCTGCACGGTATCGACCCACTATGCCGTGTTGTGTATTGTCAAGGCTGGCATAACAAACACTACGTCATAATGCCTAAGTCTCTCTCTGCTGCTTTGAAAATGTTTTGTTTTTCAAAAAAAGCCAAAAGATAGCCCCC